CTACACACAATGTACAGAGCAAGAACACAACGTCAAAAAAGCACTCAATGAAAGCAAGAGTACATAAACCAGAGTGTGCAACTGTCCATGTCAGATCTTAAACAGCTCAGCTCGTGCACTACGTCACCCTGATTAGGTCAGCCAAGCCGCGACTTGCGTACAGCTCAAATTTTCGCGTTTCACAACCCGGAAATCAGTCCGGTTTGCATGATCTTAGACGTCCTGTTTTAGGATTTCGGTGTTCTTGTGTCACTGCGTACGCTGCCGCGTACATCCGCTGACAGGTATATTCACCAGGCTATCCGTATCAAAAACCGAAAGCAGGACAAACTCAGTGACCTGCACCACCGTGACCGGTTACGCAACTATTCATCGTACCTGTGGTGTACCATGCCGTCAGAAGTGACATACTGCACGAATTACGCTCCCACAGGAACCATCCTGAGTTGCACGCTCTGGTTTATGTACTGTTGATAAAAGGTATGCATTTAAGATGGCCGTCACCATTTTGCAGGGCAAGTCACCCCATACTTGGCAGGTACAACCCGTTATAGTACATTTATGAGTATGACCTACCAAAGTTCATGACCTTTTATGCAGAGCTGGTATCAAAGCGTGTACGGTTGTAGTGGACTTGCCTGGCAAAACCTAGAGGCGGCGGGAAATTGATGCATCCCTGTCCCACTCGTCAAACGTGTGCACATACTAGTACACAACGCAAACACATACAACCAAGGGACATAGCTCGCATACCGGTATCTGTGCTGTGATGACCATGTACCACAGGCAACCTCATAATCGCCATCTTGCCTATCTTGACTAAGTACAGAAAAACCTGTGACTAAAGACCACCCCTGGTTGGGGCCAAAGAAAGCGGTCTTTAGTGGCAGGTGGTCCTTAGTTAGAGGTTTGCACCGCATTACAATAATAATGAATGTGACACCGTCCGTGCCTGGCAAAGTGGTCTGTAGTACCGGGGTGGTGGCTAGTCACGGTGGTCTGTAGTACCGGGGTGGTCGCTAGTCACGGTGGTCTGTAGTACCGGGGTGGTCGCTAGTCACGGTGGTCTGTAGTACCGGGGTGGTCGCTAGTCACGGTGGTCTGTAGTACCGGGGTGGTCGCTAGTCACGGTGGTCTGTAGTACCGGGGTGGTCGCTAGTCACGGTGGTCTGTGGTACCGGGGTGGTCGCTAGTCACGGTGGTCTGTAGTACCGGGCTGGTCGCTAGTCACGGTGGTCTGTAGTACCGGGGTGGTCGCTAGTCACAGTGGTCTGTAGTACCGGGGTGGTCGCTAGTCACGGTGGTCTGTAGTACCGGGGTGGTCGCTAGTCACGGTGGTCTGTAGTACCCGGGGTGGTCGCTAGTCACAGTGGTCTGTAGTACCGGGGTGGTCGCTAGTCACAGTGGTCTGTAGTACCGGGGTGGTCGCTAGTCACGGTGGTCTGTAGTACCGGGGTGGTCGCTAGTCATGGTGGTCTGTAGTACCGGGGTGGTCGCTAGTCACAGTGGTCTGTAGTACCGGGGTGGTCGCTAGTCACGGTGGTCTGTAGTACCGGGGTGGTCGCTAGTCATGGTGGTCTGTGGTACCGGGGTGGGCGCTAGTCACAGTGGTCTGTAGTACCGGGGTGGTCGCTAGTCACAGTGGTCTGTAGTAGTAGTAGTAGAATTTATTATTTTACTAGGGAACTCCCAACAGGCGTTGCCTTTTTACTGGGAACCCTAGGAATGACTTGGTGCTTGTGACAAATGCAGAAAGGGGCTTAGCTTGACGACATCCAGGTGGAAGCATGTTCCATCTGTCTGCTGCCAAAAATGAAATAGCATTTAGGCCGTAACGAGACGTAGCTCTGGGTAGGTTCAGAGCGGCTGAAGCTTGACCGCGGGTAGCAGCATTTGTGCGGCATGATGCAGAGCGGGGGGTAAATATCGTGCTTAAAAGAGGACTGGTGCAACGAGATAGACACCTAAAAACAAACACAAACAGCTTCAAGTTTACACGGCGAGAGAAAGTATACAGGTTATATTTGGTGAGAATGAAATCGATAGAAGTATACTGATCATGGCCAAACACTCGCCTTAGGCACCTATTGCTGGTTGACTCAAGCTTGTCTCTGAGTTTAGCAGACAAGCAGTGAACATAACATGTGCTGGCATAGTCCAAGGTACTCTGGACAATTGTCAGGTAAAACATGCGGCGGCCGGTCATCGAGACATCGCGGCGCCCGTGGCGGAATGAGGCAACCTTGCACTGTGCCTTTGCGCGCACACGCTCAACCTGCTGCTCGAAGCTGAGCGACGAGTCCAATAGGAGGCCAAGGTACAGAACATGGCTGGACTCGGGGATTACGGTGCCTTTGCAGGTGATGCTGGGGATCACGTCCAGTTGCGCAGTAGGTCGTCTGAGCAGCAGTAGCTGAGACTTTTTGGGATTCAGCACCAGTCCCCGCTCGCTGAGGAAGTCATCCAGATTTAAGAGATCTGTCTGCAGCATTCTGAGCACGGTTGAAGCCTTGCGACCAATGACGTAGAACGCGATGTCGTCCGCAAACAGTAGAGCACGGCAATGTTGAAATTTCTGACGGGTGCGCCGGATATAAATGCAGAAAAGTACGGGGCCTAACATGGAGCCTTGTGGTACACCACGTGAGCAGGGCTCTGTACTGCCTCGGGCATCGCCGACAACGACCTGCTGGGTTCTCCCAGTAAAGTAGTCTGCGAACCAACGCAATAGTACCGGGGTGGTCGCTAGTCACGGTGGTCTGTAGTACCGGGGTGGTCGCTAGTCATGGTGGTCTGTAGTACCGGGGTGGTCGCTAGTCACAGTGGTCTGTAGTACCGGGGTGGTCGCTAGTCACAGTGGTCTGTAGTACCGGGGTGGTCGCTAGTCACAGTGGTCTGTAGTACCGGGGTGGTCGCTAGTCACAGTGGTCTGTAGTACCGGGGTGGTCGCTAGCCACAGTGGTCTGTAGTACCGGGGTGGTCGCTAGTCACAGTGGTCTGTAGTACCGGGGTGGTCGCTAGTCACAGTGGTCTGTAGTACCGGGGTGGTCGCTAGTCACAGTGGTCTGTAGTACCGGGCTGGTCGCTAGTCACAGTGGTCTTTAGTACCGTACCGGGGTGGTCGCTAGTCAGAGTGGTCTGTAGTACCGGGGTGGTCGCTAGTCACGGTGGTCTGTAGTACCGGGGTGGTCGCTAGTCATGGTGGTCTGTAGTACCGGGGTGGTCGCTAGTCACGGTGGTCTGTAGTACCGGGGTGGTCGCTAATCACAGTGGTCTGTAGTACCGGGGTGGTCGCTAGTCACAGTGGTCTGTAGTACCGGGGTGGTCGCTAGTCACAGTGGTCTGTAGTACCTGGGTGGTCGCTAGTCACAGTGGTCTGTAGTACCGGGGTGGTCGCTAGTCACAGTGGTCTGTAGTACCGGGGTGGTCGCTAGTCACAGTGGTCTGTAGTACCAGGGTGGTCGCTAGTCACAGTGGTCTGTAGTACCTGGGTGGTCGCTAGTCACAGTGGTCTGTAGTACCGGGGTGGTCGCTAGTCACAGTGGTCTGTAGTACCGGGGTGGTCGCTAGTCACAGTGGTCTGTAGTACCGGGATGGTCGCTAGTCACAGTGGTCTGCAGTACCGGGGTGGTCGCTAGTCACAGTGGTTTGTAGTACCGGGGTGGTCGCTAGTCACAGTGGTCTGTAGTACCGGGGTGGTCGCTAGTCATGGTGGTCTGTAGTACCGGGGTGGTCGCTAGTCACAGTGGTCTGTAGTACCGGGGTGGTCGCTAGTCACAGTGGTCTGTAGTACCGGGGTGGTCGCTAGTCACAGTGGTCTGTAGTACCAGGGTGGTCGCTAGTCACAGTGGTCTGTAGTACCGGGGTGGTCGCTAGTCACAGTGGTCTGTAGTACCGGGGTGGTCGCTAGTCACAGTGGTCGTTAGTACCGTACCGGGGTGGTCGCTAGTCACAGTGGTCTGTAGTACCGGGGTGGTCGCTAGTCACAGTGGTCTGTAGTACCGGGATGGTCGCTAGTCACAGTGGTCTGTAGTACCGGGGTGGTCGCTAGTCACAGTGGTCTGTAGTACCGGGGTGGTCGCTAGTCATGGTGGTCTGTAGTACCGGGGTGGTCGCTAGTCACAGTGGTCTGTAGTACCGGGGTGGTCGCTAGTTACAGTGGTCTGTAGTACCGGGGTGGTCGCTAGTCATGGTGGTCTGTAGTACCGGGGTGGTCGCTAGTCACAGTGGTCTGTAGTACCGGGGTGGTCGCTAGTCACGGTGGTCTGTAGTACCGGGGTGGTCGCTAGTCACAGTGGTCTGTAGTACCGGGGTGGTCGCTAGTCACAGTGGTCTGTAGTACCGGGGTGGTCGCCAGTCACGGTGGTCTGTAGTGCGGGGGTGGTCGCTAGTCACAGTGGTCTGTAGTACCGGGGTGGTCGCTAGTCACAGTGGTCTGTAGTACCGGGGTGGTCGCTAGTCACGGTGGTCTGTAGTACCGGGGTGGTCGCTAGTCACGGTGGTCTGTAGTACCGGGGTGGTCGCTAGTCACAGTGGTCTGTAGTACCGGGGTGGTCGCTAGTCATGGTGGTCTGTAGTACCGGGGTGGTCGCTAGTCACGGTGGTCTGTAGTACCGGGGTGGTCGCTAATCACAGTGGTCTGTAGTACCGGGGTGGTCGCTAGTCACAGTGGTCTGTAGTACTGGGGTGGTCGCTAGTCACAGTGGTCTGTAGTACCGGGGTGGTCGCTAGTCACGGTGGTCTGTAGTACCGGGGTGGTCGCTAGTCACAGTGGTCTGTAGTACCGGGGTGGTCGCTAGTCACAGTGGTCTGTAGTACCGGGGTGGTCGCTAGTCATAGTGGTCTGTAGTACCGGGGTGGTCGCTAGTCACAGTGGTCTGTAGTACCGGGGTGGTCGCTAGTCACGGTGGTCTGTAGTACCGGGGTGGTTGCTAGTCACAGTGGTCTGTAGTACCGGGATGGTCGCTAGTCACAGTGGTCTGTAGTACCGGGGTGGTCGC